AGATGCCCCCCACTGCCACTGCTCTCCTCCCTGGGGCACCTGGACCTTCCACAGGCTCCTAACTAAAGGGCTGACCACAGCAGAGAGCACCCAAGACCCAGCAGCCACATGGCCGGGTCCGCTGGCGAAAGCGTCCATCCTGACTGATCAGGTCCTGCAGGGTTTCCGCGGTAAATATCTTGATTATATCCCTGATGATAAATAAGGCTCAATTATATAGTTGGAAAACGATTCTTCTCCTCATTGCAAAATCTCTTAGAAGACTCCATAGATCCAGGATGGAAGTGGAAAATCACAGTGTGTCCATCTCTGAAGGTTTTGGGCACACCCATTAGCATTCCGCCTTCATGTAAACCAGAAGATACGCAGTTTCCTGCCTAGAGGGAAGAGAAGACGCATCAGCACAGCAGCATGAAAGCTTCATCAGAAAAGGATGCGTCATTCATCCCTGACGGGACAAGTGTCAGCAAACATCCAGGCAGCTGGATCGAGCCTTTGTCTATCCATCACCTCCGAGAACAACAAAATAGACGGCCTGGGAAGATAAGCACTAAGTTTCTGTTAGTTAATATCTAAAGCAGAGGCTAACAAGCTCCAGACACACAAGCCAAATCCAACCCTGTCGGGTTTTTTAAATCAACTTTCAACTTGTATTTTAGATTCAGCGGGCACATGTGCAAGTTTGTCACGGGTGTATGAGCATAGCACACAACAGTTAGTTTTTCACCGTCCCGCCCCCCACCTGTTCCCAGTGTCTCTTGCTGCCATCTTTAAGTCAACAGTGCCCACTGTTTAGCTCCCATGTGTAGGTGAGAATGTGCATTGTTTCGTTTTTGATGAGACCGGTTCTTGCCCTGGCACCAGGCTGGAGAGCACTGGCACAATAATAGCTCACCGCAGCCTCGTACTCTGGGCTCAAGCGATCCTCCTGCCTCAGCTTTTGCTTCCTGGGTAGCTGGGACTCCAGGTGTGTACCATCATGCCTAGCTATGACTTTTAAATTTTTCTGTAGAGATGGGTCTTGTTTTGTTGCCCAGGCTGGTCTTGAACTCCTTGCTGAAAGTGATCCTCCTGCCTTGACCTCCCAAAGTACTGGAATTAGAGGTGTGAGCCCACACCCAGCCTCCAAGCCCCTTTTTGGAAATAAATTTACCTGGGCCCAGCCACGCTCATTCGCCCAGGTACGGTCTGTGGCTGCTTCTGCTCTACAGGGCAGAGTTCAGTGGCTGCAGCAGACACTGTACAGACCACAAAGCCTGAAGAACTTTCTCTCCAGCCCTTTACAAGGGAAGGCTGCCAACCTCTGATCTCAGTAACAGGCAAATCAATGGCAGCCACTCAGTGGCAGAGATTGGGTGTCTAAGAGGATGCTCAGAATAAACAGGAGAGAAAGATGAAAAGCAGAACAAAGATTTCAAACGTGAGCTTCACCTAATCCATTACTTTTCAAATGACCAGGCCTATCTCTGTAGCTGAAAATCACCTCATATAGCATTTCTGATGTACAACCTCAAAGCTCAGCTAAAAAACTTACAAAGTCTCTCTGCTTTAACTTCATCCAGCCTCTTTCTCTCCAGCTTCTCCTCTGTGCTCATTGGTCATAAACATATTTATTGATACTTACTAATGCAAGCCAAAGAAATATGAAAAAAATTATCCTTCCCCCAAAAGAGTTCACAGTCTAATGTTACAGCAAGTTACGTAAGCAAACAAATTTAAAAACCAGTGGCCGGGCGCGGTGGCTCACGCCTACAATCCCAGCACTTTGGGAGGCTAGGCAGGTGGATCACAAGGTCAAGAGATTGAGACCATCCTGGTCAACATAGTGAAACCCCGTCTCTACTAAAAATACAAAAATTAGATGGGCATGGTGGCGTGCACCTGTAGTCCTAGCTACTCGGGAGTCTGAGGCAAGCCTGGGTAACAAGAGCAAAACTCGGCCTCAAAAAAAAAAAAAATCAAATCAAATCAAATCAAATATGCCAGGCATGGTGGTGCATGCCTGTAGTCCCAGCTATTCAGGAGGCTGAGGTGGGAGGATCGCCTGTGCTCAGGGGTTCAAGGCTGCAGTGAGCTCCGAACACAGCACAGTGCTCCAGCCTGGGCAACAAAGCAAGACCCCATCTCTAAAAATAACATTTAAAAAAACAGTTGTGATCTTTGCTTTAATATTCCTGGAGTGTGACATGTGAGACAAGTCGGGGAGCAGGGTGAGTGCTGAAGATGAGGCGGACGGTGAGCCATCAGCATGTCAATCACAGGGGGATCCACGGGCATTTCATGCAGCTCCAAGGACCCTATATGAGCTCATCGGGCTCCCATTATCCAAGTACGTTTCTTACCAGTGGTAGTTAGGATTTCCGTAGGTACACTGGATGTCTTCCCAGGACACCTGGAAGCCAGAAACAAATGGGGTTAAGCAGCCACCAGCTGACACTTTGAGCACCCACAGAGGACAGGGGGCTAGAATGTGCCCCTCATCCTCAGACAAGCCCACCCCTAGCAACTCCCAAGAGCCTGGAGTATCAGCGGCAAGATGTCATGTGCAATGAAGTCTTTCTAGGGCCTTTGTCCCTGGGTTTAAACCCGGTCATGCTTATCCCAGATCCTAACTTACACATTTCTAACTCTGCTTGCTCTCTAGACATTTCCCACAAAGCATGAAGCTGCAGGACACGAGCCTAGAGCACCAAAACCTTAGAAGTGGAGGGAAGTGAACAGAGGTGCAAACCACATGGGGACTCCAGGCTTGAACCCTCATAAAAGGCCCCACATCCAGACAGTGGGTCCACAGTGTGTTGATCTCAGAGATCCACGCAGCCTGGGGCCCAGCATTTGTTAAGAGGTGGCCCATCCCGGGCAGGAGGCGATTGTGGATGACGTTTCTCACCGAGCAAATATTGGAGTCATTGAAGCAGAACGATTTTCCGTCCACAGCATTCCGAATGTAGGCACAGTAATGACCGGAGTCCGCCATTGCCACATGCGCAACCACAGCGAAGAGCTCATACTGCCCTCCAGGCTGGAAAGAGACGGGCACGAGACACTTCACCCACCACACAAACACGACGGCACCACACCTTCATACCTGCCCACCCTAGGGCCGTCTACGAGACTTCAGAATACTAGAGAACAGTCCCGCCCCATGGCCTGTGGGCACCTTCCAGGAGGGGCTTTCCTGAGTGCGGATCCTGAACTGCAACGGCTCAGCAGCTTGGCAGAGCAGAGCACACGGGAGACGGAAGGCGGGAGGTCATGAGACAGCCCCCAAAGCCAGGCAAGATTAGAACCTCCCCTGGGGAGGGGTGGGGGTCATCAGAACACAGTTCTGTTTCTCCACAAGCCCAGGAGTGTCCATAACCTGAGCCACCGTACATAGCCAAAAAAGTCTTTGTAGGGGAAGGGAGACAGAGGGCAAGGGCGTCACACGCAAAGCTGAGTCACCCACAGTGCAGGCTCCAGTTATCCCGTTTCCATGTGCGGACCTTGTGCGGGACTTTGTAAAATGCAATATCTGTACCCGAATATTAGTTTACAAGAAATAAAAGGGTTAGAGGAACACAGTGAATGACACCAGCCGGGCAGTTCTAGCATATTTAAAAAGTCTTCAACCAAATCAACAGCAAGGAAAAGAAAAGCAACAGAAATCTAAAGGAAACTTAAGAAAGGAAAGAAACTTAACCAAATGCAAGGGTAGGCATTGTTTGGATCTAGATTCAAACAAACCACATGGATTGTAGAATAGTCAGGACATCTGCACGTTGACCAGATATTTGATGCTATCGAGGGATTACCAGATGGACTTGATCATGTTTTGAGTGTTTATTTTTAAGGGACGCATAATGAAGTGTTTACAAATAAAGTGCAATTGTGTCTGGGATTTGCTTCCAAAAAATCCAGTACGAGGTTGGATGAAGCAAGAGGGTCGTTTATAGGAAGAGCAAGACCTGCCATGAGTTTTGTCATGGTCACAGCTGGGATGCACTGTCTAATTCTTCTCTAGACACTCTGGTATATATTTGCAATGTTCCATAACAAAGCCTTTGTTGTTGCAAAGACAGAGTCTTGCTCTGTTGTCCAGCTGGGCTGAAACTGCTGGACTCAAGCAAGCCTCGTGGCCTCCCAAAGAGCTGGGATTACAGGCGTGACCCACCGCACCCAGCCAATAAAGTCTTCTTAAAGAGAAAAACAATTTTAAATATACTTCATCAGGCAGAATGTGCAGGTAGAAATATAAAGAACTAGAATGAAAGAAAAAGAGAATCCCGTGAAATGTATATGGCCTAAGTAGATAAAGACACCATGTTATAAGAGGAGCATTTTCTAAATGCCATGGTTCTAGAGCATAAAGAACCAAACACACCAAAAAAACAGAGGAGACCCTCCTAAAATAGACCCGCACGTCTGGGGATACAAAATCTGCTGTGTAGCACTTCAAATCTATGGAGAAAAGATATTTGTATTTTTTCTTGTTTTGTTTGTAGAGACAGGATCTTGTGCTGTTGCCCAGGCTGGAGTAGAGTGATAGGTCGCCGCCCACTGCAGCCTCAAACTCCTGGGCTCAATGATTCCCCCACCGCGGCCTCCCAAGTAGCTGGGACTACAGGTGTGTGCTACCAAACCCAGCTTTTTTTTTTTTTTTTTTTTTGAGATGGAGTCTTGTTCTGTAGCCCAGGCTGGAGTGCAGTGGTGCGATCTCGGCTCACTGCAACCTCTGCCTCCCAGGTCCCAGTTCAAGCAATTCTCTTACTTCAGCCTCCCAAGTAGCTGGGATTACAGGCATGAGCCACAATGCCCAGCTAATTTCTGTATTTTTTAGTAGAGATGGAGTTTCACCATGTTGACCAGTCTGGTCCTGAACTCCTGATCTTGTGATCTACCTGCCTCAGTCTCCCAAAGTGCTAGGATTACCAGCCAGCTAATTTTTTTTTTTTTTAGAGATGGGGTCTCACTATGATGCCCAGACAGGTCTCGAACTCCTGGGCTCAAGTGATCCTCCTGCCTCAGCCTTTCCAGCTGACACATCGCCTGTCCTTGTGTCATTTTTTTTCCTCAGAATCTCTCAATAAGTTATTGTCTCAGGACAAGTGAATTAAACTTTACTCTGATTAAGTGTGGTCCAGTTACCTGGCTACTTTGTGATTATCCTCAAAGTGGGCACAAGCCATTTGAGTAAGAAAGTTTGGTTGGTACTAAGAACCCACAGTGACATGTTTGCCTATGCATTTCTATGTATTCCACGTTATTTCCAAAGAAGCCTACTGAATTCGGGATTCCGTCCCTCAGTGCTGTGAGGCATATGAACACAAATCCAGTATTTAGAAAGATGAAAGTCTTTCAGGCTGGGCAGTCACTGAGGAATGGGTGGCTTCTAGCAGACTGGGGATGAGGGAAGGGAAAACAGGAAAAACGTAGCATCTGGGGAGAGGCAGGATGGCGGAGTCAGAACATGCCACCTGCTCCTCAGCATCATGGATCTCTCCCTGCATTGGAAGCACGTGGCTGAAATCCAGGCTCTGGGGGAAGTACAGGGAGTGGCAGACCTTTCTCGTCTGTGAATTCCTGATGGAGAATCGCATGAGGTGGATGGTCAGGGTCTGGGGCAAATGGGTCAGCTTCAAGACCTGAAAAAGCAAAATCACTCTAGAGATAAAGTCCACTTGGAATGGGTGTGAAAGAAATGTCAGGACCAGTGGCCTGTTCATCCCAAAAAAGAGGACGCAGGGTGACATCACGGAGTTCAAGGCTCCCGTTCGCTGAATCTGCTGAGCTCCTCTGAGAATAATGCAAAACATGGCTATTCTACATCACGGGGTCCCCACAAGAGGCACAAGGGCACAGGGCTCTGCACAGGCGCCAGGACCCAGGGAGCCACGGCGTCTGCTCCAGGGAGCTTGTCTCACCCCAAGGGAAACGCCCTGCCGGCTGCTCTCAGGCCTTCTCCTCTGGTCCCTCTCAGTGATGTGACCTGAGAAGCCACATCCATGGCTCTAGAGATCAGAACCACGGGATCCCGGATACTAGCCAGACCCAGATTCCCTTTCTCACCCACCACGAGGTCCCCTCGGGGCCTCTGACAGTTCTATCAGGAAATCCAGAGGGGGCAACCCCAGACTAGTGAAGGACAGTTGACCCCTGGAGATCATGGGGTTGGATGTGTGAGTCCAGTGAATACACAAATAGTTTTAAATAAATACAGTCTGCCCTCCCCCATAAGCACGAGTTCCACATCTGCAACCAAACGCTCATCAAAAATACAATACTCCAGATGCACAACCACATAGATCAGGGACCGACTTTTCCTATACGTGGGTTCCGCAGGGCTGACTGGGGGACTTGAGTGTGTGTGGATTTTGGTAAAGGCAGGGGTCCTAGAACCAACCCGCTGTGTGCACCGAGGGACAGCTGAGTCTGATTTAGGGAATCAGTACCTGTTTCCCACGAGTCTTCTTCCCACAGTTGTCACAGAAGCACGTGCTTTTGCTCAATAACTCCCTGGGCTGGAAGAAGCAGTGCAGGGCGTCCTCCTGCCCCACCCAAGAGAACAGGGAAGAGGCAGCGTTGGCATTTCCCACCTCAAGTACTGTATTCATCTGTTCTCACGCCGCTGTGATGAAATAGCTGAGACTGGGTAATTTCTAAGAAAAAAGGCTTGATTGGCTCATGGTTCTGCAGGCTGACAGGAAGCATGGTGGCATCTGCTTCCGGGGAGGCCGCAGGAAGTCCCAATCATGGTGGAGTGCCAAGCAGGAGCAGGCATCTTACACGGGAGGAGCAGGTGCAAGAGAGCAAGTGGGGAGCTGGTGTGCAGTGGCATGATCTCAGCTCACTGCAACCTCCACCTCCTGGGTTCGAGCGATTTTCCTGACTCAGCCTCCCAAGTAGCTGGTACTGCAGGCCATATCACCACACCCAGCTAATTTTTTGTATTTTTAGTAGAGACAGGGTTTTACCATGTTGGCCAGGCTGGTCTCGAACTCCTGACCTCAGGTGACCCACCCACTTCAGCCTCCCAAAGTGCCGGGATTACAGGTATAAGCCACTGAGCCCAGCCTGGCTGCATACTTTTAAACAAGTGTGAGATCTTGAGAGAACTCAAGATTTCCTAAGAACTCACTATCACAAAGCACCATGGATGGTGCCAAACCATGAGAAACCCTCCCCCATGACCCCATCTCCTCCCACCAGGCCCTATTGCCAATATTGGGGATTGCCACTTAACACGAGATCTTTGGGCAGTGACACAGACCCCCAATTGTATCAGGTACAGCCTCCCCACACTTTGCAGCTGAGGGGTTCAGCTTTTCTTCTGATTCCCTTCATATCCCTCTTAATGCCTGGCCTGGTGTGGTCCAGTTGGCAGGATCTCAAAGGTCACCTCCTGACTGGAGGAATGAAGCAGGAGGGGGCTCCTGTTAGGCCAGCAGTATGAGGGAAGAGGAGGTAGGAGGGAAAGAGATTTTTGCCAAAACAAAGGAGAAATTGGCAGAGCCACGAAAATGAAATAAGCAACTCCTCAGAAACCAGTGCTAGATCCCAGAGGCAGGAGGAACTGGCAACACTGTGCTGTGTGCTGATATGGTTTCAGTGTTTGTCCTCCCCAAAAGCCAGCTTGGAACTGAATCCCCAGTGTGGCTGGATGGACAGGTGGAGCCTTTGAGAGACAATTGGGGAGGGCACATTGGCTCACGCCGGTAATCCCAGCACTTTGGGAGGCCGAGGCAGGCAGATCACTTAAGTCAGGAGTTTGAGATGAGCCTGGCCAACGTGGTGAAACCCTGCCCCTACTAAAAATACAAAAATTAGCCAGGCGTGGTGGCAGGCACCTGTAATCCCAGCTACTTGGGAGACTGAGGCAGGACAATCGCTTGAACCCGGGAGGTGGAGACTGCAATGAGCCGAGATCACGCCACTGCACTCCAGCCCCGGTGACAGAGGAGGACTCTGTCTCCAAAAAAATAGAGGGAGGTCACTGGGTCATGAGGGCACAGCCCTCATGAATGAATTAATCCACTCATGGATTAATGGGTTAATGGTTATCCAGGGAGTGGGACAGGGGGCTTCATATGCAGAGGAAGAGAGACTTGAGCTGGCACATTAGCACGCTCGGCCCCCTCGCCATGTGATGCCCCGCACCGCCTCGCCTCGGGACCAGCCAGCAGGCCCTCACCAGGTGCAGCCCCTCAACCTTGACTTCCCAGCCTCCAGAAGTGTAAGAAATACATTACCTACTCTCAGACACTGAGTTGTGACAACAGACGATGGATTAACACATACGGGAGCAGCAAATACCAAGAGAATCCCCTTACCAAGGTCTTCAGGGGCTTCAAGTCCACATCGAAAAGAGAAAGTGGGAGGGTCAGCATGCTGCTGTTTCTGCTTCTCTCCAACGGCACAGTCGAGGCAGATCAAAGAGTCCTTCATCCGGATCATATACAAGGCCTGCAGCCTCCCCACCTGCAAGACGGAGCAGAGAGGTGAGACAGAAGCACCACCGGAAGCCAGGCCAGGGCAACTGCCAGACGTTGGAGCCAAGAGACAGAAGCTGCAGAAACAGTACCCACTAATGCTCTCTGTCCTACTCACAAAGGTGAAAAATAATCCCAGGAACAAGATTACGAAACTGTGATAAGCATTTTATGTGGATTCACTCTTTCCCTCTACACACTCCAGGGACAACAGCCGAATGAGTTAAATGAGCAGCATCTCGACCTTCCAGGTGCCCTGGTCCTAGGTTCTTACCAAGTCCACATCAGCGATCTGGTCCTTAATCAGGTTCCAGATTTTGAGGTAGAGTTGGGCAGCATCATGCTGGACAAACACTGGCCACAGAGAAAAGGAACAGCCCATTAGTGAGTCTTCAGGGTCGCTTCTTACGCCCTGGTACCTAGATGCACATACTCACTCACCGCTTTGTCTATTCCTAGCCCCTCACCCCACTGAAAGGCTAAGTTGGCACTACATATGAAGTGATCAATAAACAGTTAAGTTTGGTATTGATTTTTGAGAACACCTCTTCAAACCTGAGCACCAGTGCCCGGTGTAGTGGTTCACGCCTATAAACCCAACACTTCAGGAGGCAAAGGCGGGAGGATAGCTTGAACTCAGGAGTTTGAGACCAGCCTGGGCAACAGAGCAAGACTCTGTCTCATAACAAATTTAAAAAATTAGTTGAGTATGGTGGTGCATGCCTGTCGTCAGAGCTACTTTGGAGGCTGAGGCAGGAGGATCACTTGAGCCCAGGATGTTGAAGCTACAGTGAGCTGTGATTACACCACTGCACTCAGCCTGGGGAATGAATGTTCACAGGGGACTTTGAACAGCACTGATATATTCCTGGGGATCTAGAAGGCCATGCACATGCCCAGGTAAGGCCCGAGAGTGCTCCCATCTTTCCCCTCTGGCTGACTGCAAGGCCACGTGCAAGAAAGCAGTGAAGGCGAATACAGAATTATAAACCGTCTGCGCTTTGGAAGTGTGCCCTAACAGACACACAGAGCCCCTTCGCAAATGCTTTAGGACTCACTGGTTCAGGCATTTAAGGAAAACTGTGACCACTTATTAACTGACCATGAAAGTAACAAAATGGAGCAGTCGGTGGCTACACACTACAGGAATGTAGATGTAACAGAGGGGCTTGTCACACGGGCCCCTGCCTGCAGTGTGCCCTCACTAGCTGACCCCCTGCTCACAAACCCCCTCGGAGACAGCTACCACACAGAGATGATTGCTGCCAGCCCCTCAGCCTGGCCTATGGGGGCACACACAGAACCCACAAGTGTGCCCAGCAGGCCAAGGAAATCAGGCTTTTAGTGCATGCCAGCCAGGGCTGGCCTGGGCATGGGGGAAGGCCCCAGCCTGAGAGAAAGAAAGGGCAGACCCAGACAGCTGCCTCAGATCCCTGTACCAAGCATTCCCCCATGCAGAAGAAAGAGGTTCCTATGACTTTAGGGAGATTCTTTGTGATAGACATGGCACAGTCCCCTTCCTTGGGTGGGAAGCCCTCAGATGGGAAAGGCAACATGGTGTCCAAAACCAAGGAGACAGCAGGAGGGGTGGCCTCATGTCGGCCAGTGGTCTAGTTCAGGCTTGTTTTTAACAGCCGAAGCATATTTTCAGCACAACATTAACACCAATGTATGGTTTCTGCCACATCTGCTTGGCTTCCTCCTCACTGCCTCCACCAGGGAGCCCTGGATCTCCTGGAGCCCCTGCAGCAAAGCCCGGTCCTGGCAAGAACGTCTTAGTCATGGAGTCACCGGTCTCAGCCCCAAGGCAACCTTCTGCCGCTTGATGTGGTCTCAGGAACTGTCATGACATTCTCTTGTGTGTCTTCCCACTTGCAGGAGTGTGTGTGAGGAGCCTGGTGCAGTGCCTGGGTATCAGAGAGGGCTGATGAAAGCCCCTTCGAATGAGCAGATCTTTCCCCTGTGCCCCGTCTCAGCTGAAGAGCAATGTGATCAGCCTGGATTGTCACACCAGCCTGTATGCCACCATCTGCCAATAGCTCCAGGGTGGGCGAGGTACCCCCACCTGGGGACCAGGATTGGGGGCAGAAAGCAAGCAGCAGGACCTTGGGGGTACAGCCAGGGTTCTGTGCCTGCCCCTTGCCTCCTGTGTTCAGCTGGGGCTCTGTGGGGCTGATTTGCTTCTGTTTGAGGTTGCTGCTCTTTCTGCGGGAACCCGGCCCCAAAACAGGAACCCCATAATCCCTGGAGTTGGGGCCACCACAACAACAGTGAGTTCCACCGCCCATTCCTGCCCCCAGCCTAAAGCTTGGATAGAATGCAGAGTCAGCCCCTCTTTTCCAGCTTCTGTAGGGATAGGACTCCTTGCCTCTGTTCCAATCCCTAGGGTTAAGTGTTCCCACCCATGCCCAGCAACTGCTTGCTCTTTAAAATGTTCTGTGTTCAGCCAGGTGCAGTGGCTCATGCTTCTAATCCAGCACTTTGGGAGGCCAAGGTGGGTTGATCTTGAGGTCAGGAGATTGAGACCATCCTGGCTAACACGGTGAAAACCCATATCTACTAAAAATACAAAAAATTAGCCAGGTGTGGTGGTGTGCACCTGTAGTCCCAGCTACTCAGGAGGCAATCATAAAAGAAAAAATGCATTTAACTAATGTACCAAAAAGATGAATATGCAGGTATGCCCAGGATAGTGTAGGTAATGATAACAAATAACTGAATCCAACATAAGCATTCCACAGTGAAAAAGTCACCAAATTCTGGTAAAATACCCTGTTGAATAATGATGCAGCTATAAATCAGAAGGAGAGAGACCTGTATGTACTGATAAGCAATGATCACCAAATTATATTTTATATGGGAAAGCCAGTCAGGGAACAACGCACAAAACAGAATTACATTATGTAAAAATATGGGCATGTCTGTCTGTGTGTAAGTGGATGTGGATGAGTGGGCTGGGAGCTGATGGTGATACATTTTATTCTACAGACCTAAGCAGTATTTGAATTTTTATAACAATAGCATATGTGTTTTTTAATGTGATTTACTAGAAACAATTTAATTTCCTCAGTTGTAAAAAGCTGTATTTTAAACCCATATAAAGGTACATGAAGATCATAGTCATTCAGAATAACAAAATAGAGCAGCAATATAAAGACACAAATAGATATTATAGTACAATACTAAATACTATAATATTCAAGATGATATTAAAATCATATCTACATCTATATGCATATAAGAATGTCAATAAATGATATTAATGTCTAAAATTAAATTGTGGTAATTTTTGCAGACCTCCGTGAATATATTAGAAACCATTGAATTGTACACTGTATGTGGGTGACATTTATGATATTTGAATGATATCTCAATATCTCAAAGTTCTGTTAAAAAATGAATGGCAGCAGGCTTGGTGGCTCACGCCTGTAATCCCAGCACTTTGGGAGGCCAAGGCCGGTGGATCACAAGGTTAGCAGTTTGAGACCAATATGGTGAAACCCCGTCTCCACTGAAAATACAAAATTAGCTGGGCATGCTGGCGTGTGCCTGTAATCCCAGCTACTCAGGAGGCTGAGGCAGGAGAATCGCTTGAACCTGGGAGGCAGAGGTTGAAGTGAGCTGAGATTGCACCACTGCACTCCAGCCTGGGGACTCTGTCTAAAAAAAAAAAAAAAAAAAAAAAAAAGAATGGCTTGATATTCTAGTGTTAAGTAAGGGATGGTTTATTTAAAACATTAACTAATAGTTTCCAGTAGATTCCATTATAAAGATTACAGCAGGGATTTCGAGATCACCTCCACTCTCACCTTTTTAGAATTTTTGACTATTTTCCAGAGTCTTGAATTCAAGGAGGTGAAGGTGGAAGAAAGCGTTTAGAAAGCCAGTGGGTACAGGAGAGCTGGTGTCGGGTGAGGCAGAGTGGGGAGAGATGCGCCTTTAAATGGAAGCCTCTGGAACCCACAGAAAGCAAGGGTGAGGTGGGCAATCTTCCTGCAGAGCTACCAGACAAAGGCTTTAGACTCAACACTCCTGTTCACAAACACAGAGAGAGGAATCTGTTTTCTTAAAACAACTTTTTCTATATTGACACAAAGAAATAATTAAAAAGGGGAAATTCTGGTTTAGTTATTTCATCAAATTATCAACAAACAACTTTTGAAACAAAAACCATACAAGTGGAACTCAATAAAATTATTATTTATTCAATAATCTGTATTTGTGGCTCAGATACAGATCGGGGAAACCAGCCATGGATGAAGTGCCCAGCCGTGGATGAAGTGCTCAGCCGTGGATGAAGTGCTCTGCCGTGGATGATGCCCCCAGCCATGGATGAAGTGCCCAGCCGTGGATGAAGTGTCCAGCCGTGGAAGATGCCCCCAGCTGT